AAATTATTTTTTAAACATTTTTTTACAACTAATCATTTTGCTACACTTCATTTTTTTTAGAAAACTTAAGCAAAGTAAAACCTTTAACTTTTAATTTTTATCATTTAACATTAAATGCAAATTAATAAAATTTTTAGATATTTAATATTAACTTAATGTTATAAATAAAATTTTTTACTATAAAAATAATTTGAATTATTATTTTTCTTATGATACTTGAAATAACTCTATATTATTCAAAATTTAGAATTGATAATATATTTTAAAATTTGTAGCTTGTAAAATATTATTCGTGTTTACTTAAAAATATATATGCAGGCAAATTCATATTTAAAGGTATATTTGCTCAAACGAACTAAATCCAGAAGTTGATTATATTATTGAAATTTAACGCCTATTTATATTTGAAAGTAAGACGATATTATTAAAATATTTAAAATAAATAAATATATCATGTTGGAAGTTTCTTAAACTATATATTAAATGAATTAAATGGGTATTTTATTTTTTTTATTTATCAATTCAAGCTATATTTATTTAAATTAATTCATCTTATTTAAAATTAAAAAATTTTTTTAATTGAGACTATATAGATTGTAAGTCATTTTATTTTATTATATTATAATATATACAATTAGATTCATGATCATGGTCGACTAAAGGCCACTCATTAGATCTTATTATCTTTTTCCATTTATCACCCCAGTTTCATTTCTTTTTACTTCATTTTAACCTATCCTTTTGCTATTTTTAGATTTAAAGTGTTTCTTACGAGTAACATAATTACTAAGGCCTTCATTATGAAAATATATTTAATAGTATTATTATGCAATTTGATAGTAAGGCTAGAGCTTAATTTGCTTATTATATCACTAAGAGGAGCGAACTGATTATTTTGAATGATACATTGTAAGTTTTATTTATCACATTGATTAAGTATTTTATGATAACCAAAACGTTTCTCAGGTATTGTGAATCTGTTGTTTCTTTGTATCTTTTTATAGCATCATTAATAATACTAATGAGAATACCAAGCTGAATTGAAATAACTATTTATTTAGTATCATTCAGATATGCACTGATAATTTTTTCACATAGAATTTTAGACAACTCATTTTCATACATTTCTTTTTTTTGAAAAAGATAAAAATTATATATATATTTTTTTATTATTTATGTATATTAAAAAGAAATCGCAAATTTATTACAAAAGTGATAATTCACGTGATTATAAATTCTGTAAGTTAGTATACCAGTATATTAATATGTGTATTAATATAAAATATATTTATTAAATGTTCTTTTAATAAATTTTTCTATTTTTTCCTTACTTGTACTAGTATAAATTGTATTTCAAAACTTTTATTAATTTTATTTCTATTTGATAAACTCCAATATTCATTATTTTTACTATTCTTTGATTTAATATTCTTCATCTATCTAAAAATTCTTACTAGATTACAATTTAATTATGTATAATTAAGATCTATTAGCCATTATATATTATAATTTTTGATGAATAATTTTTGAATATTTTACCTTTATAATTATTTAATTTTACACTCAGGTAATTATAAATTTAAAATATATTTTATTGTTACTTACTAATCTTATAAAAAAATCAATTCTATAATATGAAAAATAAGTGTGTTTAATTAGAAAATATGTTATTTTTTTAAAATATCTATATGGTTTTAGGATCATATATTTCTTCTTTATATTTAAAATATATGCTAACTTAGATTTTATTTGAATTGAATTATAATTTAATATTTTCTATATTATTGAATAAACTTCTTTTATATTTTGAATTAAGAAAACTTTTAAACTTCTTAATTTTTAGATGACAAATATTATATATGCTTCAATTTATTTATATTTCTATTTTTAATATATTTTTGAATAGATTTCTTTCATATTTTTATATTAAAAAAACTTTTTTAAATGTTTCAATTTTTAACTAATAGAATTTTACATATATTTATATTTTTATCTTTTAAAAAAGAATATATTATTGAACTGACTTCTTCTATATCACTAATCGAAATTAAAAAAATCAGATATGTGAAAATCAGCCTAACTGATTGGCATACATTAAAAATCGACCAAAAATCAGCCAAAATTTAACTTATCTTATTTATAGCTGATTGGCATACTTATAGCTGATTGATATATATAAAAATTTGACCTATCTCATTTATAACTGATTGACATCTAATTGGAATGATATTATTATTCCTTAGATACGATAGTTTTATCGTTTCTAAGGAATAATGCATTTATCATATCTTAGATATAATGATTTTATCATACCTAAGAAATGATGGTTTTATTATTCCTAAGAAATGATGCATTTATTATTCCTTAAGGACGATAACATTATCATACCTAAGGAATGATGATTTTATTGTTTCTAAGAAACAATTATTTTTTTGTACTTAAAGAATGATAGTATTATCATTCCTTAGGTATGACAATTTTATCATACCTAAGATATGATAGTTTTATTATTCTTTAGAGATAATAGTATTATCATTCCTAAGGAATGATGCATTTATCGTTCTTTAGGAATGATTGTATTATTATACTTAAGAAATGATTGTTTTATTATTCCTTAAGAATAATTGTATTATTGTATCTAAGGAACAATTATTTTATCATACCTAAGGAATGATGGTATTATCATTCCTTAAATATGATAATAGTTTTATCATTTCTTAAAGATGATGGTATTATCATTCCTAAGAAATGATACATTTATTATTCCTTAGGGATGATGATATTATTGTATCTAAGGAATGATAGTTTTATTATTTCTAAAGTATTCCTTAAACTGTCTATTTTAGTGTACAAATTTGTCCGCTAAATTAATTAGAAAAATTAGGTTTAGAAATAATTTTTTTTATATTAAATCTTAAATTAAAATTGACCGGAATACACCTGAAATATTAGGTTATATGATAATAATAAAATCATGTTATAGTATACTTCATGTAATCTAAACAAATGATAAAATTTTGAGTTATATAAAATTTGCTATGCTTTGGCTATGAGGTATCCTAAATGACTGAACTTTTCAAATCGCCCAAAAAATTTATTTTAACTACTTCATATATGAATAAAAAAAAGCTACTATGTAATAGGGGTACTTATCCATAATAAAATTTTATGTTATGAATTAATTAAACTATTAAAGATTAACTTTAGCATATTTATATCAATAAACTGATAAATGTTTATAAAATAAATTCTTAATGTCTAAAAATTAATAAAATAAAATTTTATTTATTATCATTATTTTTTGTATGAAAACTGACAAAACAATTACAATTAATATTACAACAAAGAGGTACATTACACATTATACACCAAAGCTGACTTCTATTTAGTATTTTACGATCCAAATCCAAATTTTTTTTGCTTGCCAACCAAGTGCACCATTGATATGATTCTCATTGCTCTTTCCATTCAGCAAAATGGTTTTTAAATATAAACCATTGATTTGAAAGCTCAAATTTTTTGTCACCTTTGGCCATCTAGTTTTTTTTTTTGATTCTTTTCTTATTTCTTTTTTTGAGCAATTTCTTAAATAAATTTCTTTTGTATCATTTGCAAGTTTAATAAGATCCCAAACAAGTTTATGGCAGAATTCTTTATGCTCTTGTATTGATCCTAATGTTTGGGTGATTTGATAGGCATTAACAATTGCAGTATCTAACAACCAAAAAAAGAGAGGCATCCAATTCCTTCGTACTATTTGTTGTGTATTGTTGTAAGACCTCAATTAGTCAGCAATATCTATGTCATTCATGTAGTAGTTGTAATCATCGATTACCTTTGGAATTAATAATTTCTTTTTTGATTCAGAGCTGAATACTACACGCATCTTAAATGAGAAGAAAAAGAAAAAGAGAGAGGGGGATCAAAAAAGAAAAAAAGAGGAGAGGGAGAGCAAAAAAGAAAGAAAGAAAAGGAGGAGAATAAAAAAAAAGGGAGAGGGAAAATGAAAAAGAAAGAAAAGAAGAATTGAAACGAAAAAGAAAGAAAAGGGGAAAAAAAAAAATAGAGAAAAAGGATAAAAAAAAGTGAGGGAAAAAAGGAAATAAAGAAAAAAGAATAAAGGAAGAAAGGAAGAAAAGAGGAAAGAAAAAAAATCAAATTAGTAAAAAATTAAAAATAAAAAAAAAACAAAAAAAAATTGAAAAGATACTTCACTTCGATATACTTTTGCTGTATTGGTACTTGTCTCCCTTGGCTGTCATCTTTCTCGCTTTACTTCCCATTCTTCACTAATGAGACTATAAATCATTGATAATATCGTGACCAATCTATTATCTTACCAAAAAATAGCTAACACTTCATTTATTACAATGCTGGAATAAATATCCCAATTGAGTTTGACATTTTTATCCACTTTTAATTCTTTTAGAAATCCAGAAGCTGTTTTTCAGATAGTTCTACAAGCACTAATGCCTATTTGTCGAAGATACTGAAAAAGAGAGACATTGGAAAAATAATTATCTATGTAAATATTGTATGAAAATTGCTGATATGAAAATTGTGTAACAAGATGTTGAACAAGACATCCAGTTTGATTAAAACTGTTCACTCTTATTATATTATTTGGTGATACACGCAATATAGGTAAAAAAGTATATATGTATTCAGACTCACATAAAGATAAAATTTTAAAACCTTCCAGAGTTGATTTATTTTTTATTTGAATAATATGGATACTTCATTTGAAAAATCGTACCATCATTTCATTCACCAAACGTTCGAACTTAATATATAAAGTTGTTTTGAAACATCACAAATTTTTGAAAGCAGTGGTTCCAGTTTTTCAAAATAATTATTAATCATAGCTATTGGAGGAAAATGTGTAAGTATCTTTTGATTTGTTTAAAGCGCTTTAATGACATTTATTTAGAAATATGATAGATGGGAAACTTTAGATCTTCATTCCAATATTGATTAAGTGAGGGTAATTTAAAGAGTCCTTAATAGATAACTAGAGCTATCCAGATAATAAGCTCTTTACGATCTATATTTTGCCACTTTTTATCAACAGCACCAGCATCTTTTATTAATATATACAAATTTGTATTAACAACTATTGTGTCTAATATGGAGTTTGGAAAAAAAGTAAAAAAAGATTGATTGGTTTGGAAAAATTGGCTTCATAATTTGGCAGCAAGTTAATAAATGCCCTAGTGTAATAGTTTTGGATGAATAAAATGTTCAAAATTAGGAGTGGGTGGTAATTATACAGTTTTTATTGGTTTGCGTCTACCCTTATGAATGTTTCTAGTATCTTCTTCTTCATCCTTCTCAATATCTGATCTCACAAAATGTTGATGGGACGTCAAAAGTGGCATATATTTCTCCTCTTCATTAAAATTTTGTTCTGTTTCAAGAGGAAATGAATTCGAAGTTGAAATTGAAGACAGCACACTTGGTTTTACTGCAGAATACATACTTTTTAACGAAGTGGAGATTTTTAGATTATCACTAAAAAAAGATTAAAGGGAAATTATGTCATGATCGGCAAGGTGATACACTTTTATTATTATTTAGAAAGGTGAGGGGTATTAATTAAGGAAATCACAGATGATTACACAAATACAGATTAAAACAAATTTTAGTAGGCAAATTTGCCCACTGGATGGTTTAAGGGATAATGCTTTTTCATTTCTAAAGACTGATTATTTTATCATATCTAAGGAATAATGGTATTATTATTTTTTAGATATGATGATTTTATTATTTTTAAGGAATGATGGTATTATTGTTCTTTAGAGATAATGGTTTTATTATTCCTTAGGAATGATGATTTTATCATTCCTAAGATATGATGCATTTATCGTTTCTTAGGTATAATTATTTTATCATTTTTTAGAGATGATAATTTTATCATTTCTTAGGGATAATAGTATTATCATATCTTAGGTATGACAATTTTATCATTAGGAATGATGGTTTTATCATTTTTAAGAAATGATAGTATTATTGTTTCTTAGATACGATGTTAAGCCTAAACACTACGTCATTAGGATAACAAAGCTTATTTGCTAACAGGGAGTTTAAATGGTAAACTATGAAAGAAATAAACACGAATTTATTTAA